ACGCATTCAGTGTTAGAAATGATTTGAATCAAGAGATGAAAGCGAGTGGTTCAAAACCTTTTTCGAGTGTTTTCCCAACAATCCCAGGTGTTTCTAACAGAGAATGAAAATACGAAAAATATCTCATAGAATAGTAATAAAAAATTCATGCTTTTGTCAAACTTCAGTACCAAACTTTAAAACTCAAATTCAAATCACAGAAACTTTTTCTTACTTTGGTAAAGACGATATGTTACTTTGTAATGTGAACTTTTTGTCGCGCTCGATTCTGGTGAAAACGACTCGGAAGATTCTCGGAATTGAATCGAGATATGGCGACCGCTTAGTGAAACTATATTGCAATAGAAAACACTAAAATGAATCAACGTAGACAACGTAGTTACCGATAGGAACTTACTTTTCTAGAGCTGAACGGCTTTTGATGCTTATTGATACTTATTATTTTAACATATAATGGATCTGATCTATACTTACCAACTTGAATGTGATCACAAGACGTTGCGTAGGATGTAAGCCAACCTCAGCGTCTGTGCATAAATTTACCGCCCAATATTGGGGTCAACTTGGCTTTGTCATTTTTCGTGGAAAAGGTTAAAAATTAAAATTGCTCACGTCACGTAACGAAGTATTACAATACTGAATTATATGACGTCTGAAATTCCAAATCGTACATGAAAAACACTAAATCTGTTTCAATAATCGTATCCTGGCCTTTGCAACATAAATTTCACTGTACCATAAATGCAACAAATGCAAGCATATTTATTTATGTAATTTGTTATTGACATTATGAATGTCTATGAAATTTAATAAGCTTTATGAATATTTTTTCATTGTATTTTGTTTTGATTTATCTACCACTTTCAAAAAATTCTCCAAATCACAACACGGTGCGCTGCCATTGACTTGTAAATCCTGTCCATCATCTTCGACGAATTCTCTTTCTCTTTCTCCTGACAGTTTGGGCAAACGCACCAAGACTTGTTCTACCATTGACAAAAAATCAGCATGTCCTTCCTGTCCGAGAATACTTTGTGTGAACTTAATGGCGTCTTTCAAACATTTCAATTGAATCTCAACATCATGTTGTTGCTCAGATAATATCTTCAACTTGAACTCTTTCATTCCTCTTGCTTCTTCTTTAAGACATTTGCGCATTTTTTCCAAAGTTTGGATGTTTGAATTTATTGTGGAATCTATCTTTTTATCAACAGTTTCTCTCCTAATTTCCACTCTCTTTTTCATATCTTGAACTCTTTTTATTTCAGAAAGAACCGCGTCTTTTGCACACTCAACATCTTCGATTTGTTCTTGAAGACTTTTTCTCTGACTACCGATTATGTCTACGAGAAACATTTCATGATCCTTGTGGTCATAAATGGTGCAATTCTTACAAATCAGCATATCACAGTTTCCACAGAATAGCGTTTGCTTTTTACCTTTATGTTTGCTGCACGTAGATAGCTTATCTCTTAATAGGATACCTTTCTATCTGTTTTTAAGTACTTTTTCTTACATATGAACCGTGTATTATAATTATTAGATATTATCATATTATCGTGYCAAATTTCTACTTTCACAAGATCACCTCTGGTGTGTCTCAGTCAAGATAGCAAAGGATTCTTCCATCTTCTGTTAGATTCAGTTGATATTACGTCCAAAAGGTCGAACATAATTCCTAATACTTTATTGGTGATATAATTCGAGAAGGATTACCATTTTTCGTTTTTTGCCAAACTGTGATGCGTTTAGTGATAACTTCTAAAGGACTTCCTCGGACAGACAGACCATCAACCTGGACTTCGAGATTTTTCAGTTCTCCATCACTCGTGTCATCCCGGTGTAAATCAGAAGGTCGCTTAAAGACTACGGCTCTGGATTCTATCAGAAATACACCTTGTTTACCAATAGTTTCTGTGCATTTAACGCGAACATGAGAGCAATCAATCTGAATCCTGTTTGCTTTTATGTGAATTGGTTCACCGAAATAATTCCTGACTTGTAAGAAAATGTTGCTAGTGCCTTCAATCCAACCAARSGTGCATTTCTCTGGATCTGGCGCAAATCTGTCTTTGATTACAAGATAGTTCACGATATCTTCATAAAAATTCGGTATCTCATTGACTTGCAAGATTTGCTCGTATTTCTCATCCACTTCGACATCAATTTCCTTTTTTGATAGCTCTGTTAAACGCAACTGGATTGGGATTGTCATTGACAAAACATCACGTTTGCTACCTTTGGCAAGAATGTTTTTAGTGAACTCCATTACGCTGGTAAGAGCAACCAAACGCATCTCYAGATCGTCCTGCTTTGAGCAGAGTTTCTCCATTTTCATCGCCGTCAAGCTAYTAGACTCTTGRTTAKGTTTCGCGCGCGTCTCTTCTAGGATTGCAATTTTTACATCGATTTTCTCATCTATCTCTTTTTTGACAGTTTCCGCATTTTCCCTCACTTTTTCTTGCATGTCTTTCACTGCCTTCAAAGCGGATTCGACCTCCTTCTTTGTTCTGCGTAGACATTGCATTTTCTTTTGAAGTTGCCCTTTATATTCTTTCACAGTATCTGCGATGAATGCAAACTTATAAGCTTTTTGGTCGATAATAGTTAACTGCAAATCAACGTCTAACATTCTGTTTTGCACACTTATGTTTGACACATGAACATACGTCCAGTTAATGTTTTTTTAAAAACAAATTTGCTTTGTACTTCGACTTCACCGCTTTGCTTCATACCTTTGGACAACTCGACTAGTGCCAGAAGTCTATTGACCAATGTGTCAACTTGTAATGAAGAAACATCCTTGACCTAGAGGAATTTGGGAAATGACACAACCAGATAAAAAAGGCAAGAGGACATTTCAAGTTTAGAAAAACACATGTCCTCTCATTACATGTATGTACAAACTTTGACAAAAGGAGCTCCTCCCTCCTTCCTCCCTACTTCCTCCTTCATTCCTTCCTCCCTCGTCTCTTTGACAAAAAGATCTCCTCCCTCCCCCTCCCTCCCTCTCTCCTCCCTCCTTCATTCCTTCCTCCCTTGTCTCTTTCTCCCAGGTATATCCATACCCGCACTATCATCCGACACTCAGGGCATTGAATGGAAAACCAGCCGCTGTCCGCTTCATGCAGTAACCCTTCCAGGCACTTTCTACAGTAGGTGTGCTGACAGGGGAGGATACGAGGGTCCTGGTACTGGTCGAGGCAAATGGGACACTCGACGGGATCTTCAAGACTTGAAGATACTTTTGTTGCCATTTTCTTTGATTTCTTTTCTCTCCTGGCTTAAAAAATAAATGAGAAGGCAATAGTTAGTCTCCTTCACGGTTACCTGCGTCATCTTGAAAGGCAGCCGTGCCTTACATCGAAGTGAAACGAACGACTAGCGTTGAGCGTGCAATGATAAAAACCTTCTTTCACACCTGCAGACAATTATTTACAGGTATCTATCATTGCACGCTCAACAGTTGTCTCGTTTCGATGTAAAGGCACGGGGTACGGCTACCTTTCAAGATGGCGCAGGGAACCGTGAAGGAGACATTAATTTTGATATTAATATTAACAAATGTTAACTAATGTCTAAATTTAGAAAAACTTCCTGTTTTCGACGGTCATGTTCTGTTGGTATCGTATGACAGATGAATTCGAGTATGAATTCAGTTGGAACTATATCAAAAACTCTCTGAAACTCCAACTGATCAGTTCAAAACAAACTAGCTTTGAGATCAGAGATTAGCCAATTTGATGAAAAGTTTCTGATCTTAACTATCTTTTCACGTTAACAATATGAAGGAACTGATGAAGCGTGATTATTATTACTATATTATGATTACGATACGGATATCTGTGAATTTATCTCTATAGTAATGTATTATGAGATGACGTTATAAAGGAACTTATTTTCGATTCTTCAAGCTGGTTTTCACGTGGGTTTTCATAACATCGATGAAATGTACTCACCTATAGTATGATTCTGCTTGGCGAAAGACGTCATATGTCGGCTGAGACAACCCAATTTGCGCCTCAGTAAATTCAGAAACGTACCAGATATTGGGTCCTTGTCTATGCAATTTTTTTTGCGGAAAATTTTTTTTTTTTATCACGCATTCTCATACTCATTAATTATTCATGAATATCTAATCCCTGATTGTAATTTGTCACCACGTGCAGTAGCTGGAAACCAGAAGACGTACTCCTGCCTTGTATTCTACCTTGTTTCCAGTTACTTCTACCTTATTTCCAGTTACTTCTACCTTATTTCCAGTTACTTCTACCTTGTTTCCAGTTACTACTAGCTAATAATAATCAAATTGTGATAGAAATAATCAATTTACTATAGAATTAATTTATACTTTATTGTGAATATATTATTGAAACACACTTTACAGCATTTTCTTACTTATTTTTGTATTGATTGCAGAAAACAAAGTAATTAGGATTACAAAATATGCATGCAAAACCTGTAAGTTATGCGAAAACATCTTCTGGAAAACAATCTAATTGTGATACAACGTCGAGGGACACATCGAAGGAAAGTCCGTCGATCTTCACCTCAAGACAGTCTGTATAACTATAAATGTCCATGGGAAGCTCTCTGTTTGGGTTTCTGATCAAGCCTTCTATTATGAATTCACCTTTTCCAGTTTTGTGACAGTAACAATACAAAGTACAATTTATCTGAATTCTATCTATTTCTATGTCGACCGGTTCATTCAAGTAATTCCTGACGTGTAAACCAATACGGTCGGTGTCTGGAATCCAGTCCAGTGTACAGTTTTTAGGATCATGGGCAAATCTGTCTCTGAKTTTGATTACAATGGAGTTTTCTATGTCTTCGTAAGGTATTTGATTAAATTGTAAGATTTGCTCGTACCTACTATCTACCTCGCCATCGATTTCTTTTTCGGAAACTTCTGATAAAAGCGATCCAATTTGTTTGGCCATCGATAAGACATCGCTACTGCTGCCCTTGGCAAGAATATTCTCCGTGAACTCAACTGCACTCGTGAGGGCTGCCAAATGCATCTCAAGTTCATTCTGCTGTGAAGGGAGCTTCATCATTTCCATCGTCATCAAAGCTATTGACTCTTGTTTAAGACTTCTTCGCTTTTCTTCCAAAACTGCAATTAGCGTGTCGATTTTCTCATCTATCTCTTTCTTGATACTTTCCTCATTTCTTCTCATGCTTTCTTGCGTCTCCTTGATATCTTGTAAAGCTGATTCAATCTTCTTRTTTGTTCCACATACATATTGTATTTTCTTTTGGAGTTTTGCTTTGTATTCCTCAACAACTCCTGCCATGAATGCAAACTCATGATCTTTGTGATTGGTCAGGGTGCAATATTTGCAAATTAGTTCCTCGCATTCTTTACAGAAAAGCTCCTGCTTTTTMCCGTTGTGTATGTGGCACAATGTGGGTTTCTCAATGTATGGAAAGCCGCTGTTCTTGATTTCTTCCAGCGTCAATAGGTTATGATTCTTTAGACATGCCATGCGTTTATGTGCTTTGATGCAGTTAACGCACATAAATGTTTCACAATCAAAACATCTTGCTGCGGCTCGTTCGCTCAGATTGCAATTACCGCATTGTAACTCGCCATTWAACCCTGCTTTGTGATTCTCAGCCTTGACCAGCTCAATTAGTGATAGATTTTTGTTAACCCATATGTTGACTTGCAACGAAGAAACGTCTTTAACCTAGAAAAAATCGAAAACTCGCAAACCTGCACTCCAAAAAAGCTCCTTTGGCTATCAGCCTTCTGTCACTACCTTCTTTCTTTTCCGCCCCAGCCTCCTTCCCCACCCTTCTCTTCTTTTCCCCTTTCACTCACACCCAAAACATAAATCATCCAGTATACTCCATACATGTGCTATTTTTCGACATTCAGGACATTGAATAGAAAACTTTCTGTTGCCTTTGTCCAGTAACCTTTCCAGGCACTTTCTACAGTAGGTGTGCAGACAGGGAAGGATGCGAGGGTCCTGGTACTGCTCTAGACAGATGGAGCACGTGACCTGATCTTCCAGACTTTGAGATAATTTTGCTGCCATTTTCAGAATTTTCGACAATCCCGCTTTACTTTGGCCTGATTAAAAGAAACAAACATATAAAACATTTAGTCTATGATATTAGTTAGTAGTTAATCAAATTTTCCGTTCGAATACATGCTTAGTTGGTGACGAGATATTTACAAATGAGTATATTCGAGTGTTCTTCGACGGAAATCTAT